CAGAAGATTGAAGAAGAAATGGCCGAGTGATTTGATTTAAGCAGAATATTACTTGATGAAGTTACCTCTATTAAATATTTATAAATCTTTTATTGAGAGAGTGTGTGTGTGAATGTCTGTGCGTATGTATGTACGTATGTTAGTGTATATGAAAAATTCATAACATTAGATCTTAAAATACGTAGTTTTCCCAGTAAACGGCCGAAGGACCTGAGCCAACTAGTATACCACTTGCTGAAGTGGTTACTAATATATAATTTCTTTTTTTGTTAACGTGCGTGTGAGTTTGTTTGTGTGCATGTACGTATGCATGTGTGTGTATTTGTTAAATTATCACAATAGCTTATAGGATACCTTGTATTCTGATTGCTGTAAATAAAGAGATAAAAAAAAAAAAAAAAAAAAAAAAAAAAAAAACAGGAAAATACGAGAAAATTATGTAACAAATTCATAGAAATATAGTACTCTTGTAGTAATTATAATAAATGTACTATGTATTGTTATAGTTTTAATTTATACACTTTCTTGGAATAATTAAAAGTGACAAGTTTTCATCAGAAATGTACATGTAAATGTATATTAGAGCGGGTCGATTTGTACGGGTCAAAAAAAAGTCGCTTATGATTTTTGGATACTAGGAATCAAAATAAGATACTTTGCTGAAGAAACCATACCTCTAAAATGAATTCTGATGCCCCGTGTATTGACCCCAAAATAAGAGTTGAAATTCGAAAGTTTATTGTATACTTCTTAAAGTTTTCGGTATGTTTTCTTGGATACTTTGTTTTGGCTTAGAATACTTTTATATTTGACATATTATAAAATGTCTATACTGGAATAATATTGTTATTTTACCTTACCCATAGTTTACTGTGAAATAGCAAAGTAAACAATGTCAGTTAGGTTAGGTTAGGTTAGGTTAGGTCTTGTTGCAATTTTGAGTACGTGTTTCATACAAAGGCTTTACTTAAATATTTCGTTAGATCTTGTATATTTAACAATCTGTGAAATCAAAGCAAGTAATTTCATCTTATGATAGACAAGTTTAATAAAATATGCTGTTAAAAAACTGACGCCTTCGATCGTTCCAAAAGTTGAACACAAATAGTAAAAAAAAACATTATAGTTATTTTATTTTATTTTTATATTATAATTTAGCATATATACCTTGATCTAATATACAACTCAATCTTCAAATCACACAATTAACACTTTTTAACCACTTTATTCAATAAAAAAACATTTTAATTCTATTTTTACAATATTTACAATTGACATTTAATTCACGAATGACACCTACGTACAACTTCACACCGAAGCCAAATTTCTTAAGAACTCAAAAAATCTGGCGGGGAATTCGAAATCGATTGATTGAAAAGAATCAGTTTTTAACATTTTTTAATTGGAATTTATAGGACTATACTAGGATAATATTGTTATTTTATCCTACCGATAGTATATTGTGAAATAGCAAAGCAAAAAAAAGTTATGTCAGTTAGGTTAGGTCGTGTTGCAATTTTGAGTACATAGAATATCCATCGCTTTACTTAAATATTTTGTCAGATTTTGTATATTCAACAATCTGTGAAATCAAAGCATGCAATTTCATATTATAATAGACAAGTTTTATAAAAGATACAGTTAAAAAACTGACGCATTTTATCCTTTCAGAATTTGAGCACAAATAGTCAAAAATAACATTATAGTTATACTTTAGCATATATACCTTGATCTAATATACAATCCAATCTTCAAATCACACAATTATCACTTAATAACCACTTTATTTATTAAAAACACAATTTAATTCTATTTTTACAACATTTACATTCAACAATTAATTCAGGAATGACAGCCAATGAAACCTACGCACAACTTCACACCGAAGCCAAATTTGAAAAAATATGGCGGGGAATTTAAATTTGAAATTTGAATGATTTGATTGATTGAAAAGAATCGGTTTGTAACATTTTTGAATCGCTTTGAATGAAAATGTTTCTTTTCATTATGAAGGAAATTGTGTTACAACCTATTTCTCCTGCTAGTACTATTTATAAGCTCTTATGTTTTGTCTATAAAATACGAATAATGATATTTCTCGAATATTTCATTACGTTCCAGAAATTTGCCTTAAGGCACGATGCCATACACCACTAGTAAAAATATAAATTATTAAAAAGTTCAAGGTCAAGTGATCAATTATTTAAAAATATAATTATTATAGATCGTGTACATATTGTGCAGTATGAATTTTTCATGCTTATGCATGCGAAATATTAGCAGATTAAGGTTAAACGTATGCAGAAATTGCATGCATGAAAATTATATCACCACTCAAGTTCATATTTCAATATAATTATGATTAATAATGCTCCAATAATATTATAATAGCACACACACACATAAATAGGGTAAGGCGGGGCACAAAGGTCCAGTTTGACTTTGAGCAAATATATTGGGAAAACCAAATCAATTATATCATATTATATCTAGGTTCAGTAGGACTCCCAGAGGCCAACATATACAATGTCCAACTTTTGGAAGAATTTTACTAAATCATAGCTACATTATTCAACCAATGCAAAATATAAATTGAATGGGTACATTTTTTACAAAGACAACACTGATGTATATAACCTTGATCTGGTATTTTGTCAGAAATAATCATCAGCAAAGTTGTAATAAATATTTATTTAATATAAGTCTGGTAAAATTGTTTTCTTTTGACGTAATTAACTATTTTATGCACTAGTTTTTAATGCTTACATCTTTGCCAGGATAAAGGTTCAGTTGGTTCTTTTTACCCCAACCACGTGTAAGCTTTTATAAAGGTTATATTAAGAAAGCTGTTGAATCTAACTTAAAACTAACAATACATCCTATAAAACAATTAAATAATGTGTACTTCAAAATTATATGAAGGTCTCGTTTACTAAACAACAGTGCTCACAACCAAAAGAACTAATAACGAAATAAAATACTTTTGTTATGGATTTTCAAACATTGCTGTTTATCTTCCGATAACATCGTCGTAGCAAATAAGGTGATGTCTAGTTATAATACATCTTTTGCACTCTACTTTCAAATATTGTAGTTAAAAAAATCTTAACTTCACATATATGAGATTTTGGTGTTGGATTTTTTTACCCTCGGACCTTAAAGCCTCGCTCTACTTTATATATGCATATACTAGCTGACCCGGCAAACATTGTTCTATTAAGTAAGGTAATCCTTAACAATTTCTAAACAATCCAAAAATTTAATACTTTATTTTAGGTGTGTAAGAATGTGATTATTGAGTTACAAAATTTTGAAAATTCTGCGAGGAGATAGAAAAGGAATTAAGTATTTATTTGTGGCGGGATTAGCTCAAGAGTAGCGTTCCCGATTCACATGCTGGAGGTTCCGAGTTCGAATCTCCGGCCAGAATTTGAAAAATAATATTAACTAGTTGGAATAATAATAGAATTATGAATTGTACTAATAAGATATGTATGTAAAATCAAAATGTATAAAAATTAGATAATTAGAATTTAAAAATGAATTGAAGTAAGAAGTAATGAGAAGTATAGAAGAAAGAAGAAATAGTGGTTAGAAGATGAAGTGAGAAGATAGTAAAAGAAGAATGAAGTTAAGTTAGTTAAGAAGTATAGAAGAAGAATAGGATTATATGAAGAAGAAGATAGTATAAAATTGAAGATTGTATATGATTGTATAGAATAATGTAGGTGGCTAAATGCTCGAGTAAGCGAGGCCAATAAAAATAAAAAAAAAAAAATAAATAAAAAAAAAAAAAAAAAAAAAAAAAAAAGTATTTATTTTTTGACCTTCTTTTTGGAAAGTTTTAAGTAACATTCCATAAATTGAAGTAACTTTATTGAAAAATTTATATTCAGGGAAGAGTGGGGTTCAGTTCTAGTTTTAGCGAATCTGACATAATATCGAGCTCCATTTATACAAATAATAATAATAATAATCTTATATATAAAATTCTTCTGTTAGAGTGTATGATTTGATACTTCTCCTAAACGGTTATTCGGATTTTGATAATTGTTTTTAAAGTTCGTCAAAGGAAATTTTTAAGATTTAATGAACAAAAAAACTATAGTAATAATGTAGAAATAAATGTCAATTCACTTGAAATTTGAATTTAGTAGAAATCAAGAGCATAGATAATATTAGAATATAATATACAAGAAAAACTTAATGCCTACATTATTATTGCCAAAAAGCTGCTGAGATGTGCCAGAAATTAAAATAATATAGGATACAATCAACTGTATATGTTTGGCAGATGTAATTATATAATTCAGTTAAATAAATAATGCAATAAGTTGCATATACATTATTTTTTAAAACTTATGCATGCCGCATTTTGGTTTACTTTACTAAATTAACAATACAAAAAAATATTCTTACTTATTAAAAAATGATTTAGAATTTTGTTTTATGTGTCAACAATTCATCTTTTTGGCATTGGATATGGAATATTTAGTTAGTTGATCTGATATTGCAGAATGCACATATGAACTAGATTTTATAAACAAATTCACCTAAGATTTAAACTGAAACAATAATGTTTATTAAATTATTAGTAAGAAAAATGTAATTTAGAAATTATAATTGCCAAAAAGCAAACTAATATATCGTGCGAGATTATAAAAATTATAGACTAAATTATTGAAGCAATTGGTAAAATCAAGTATTTTATCGCAGATTCTATATCATTTTTTCTGAATTTCTTATGCTGCTTATGCTAAGACCCTAATTGAATCACAAAGGCAGGACATCAAATAGGATATTAAAAAAGTATAGGATAGGATATTAAAAAATCTGGAGCTTTTGAATTGTAGACGTGGGTACAAGACAACGTCTGTCGGGTCATCTAGTATATATATTTACTTACATAACTATTACATAATAAATTTACACGCATCATGAATTATTGATCTGTCAACTCTAATTTATATTTCGATTACTATTTGCAGATATCTCTCCGATGACATCAATTATTTTAACCGATTGACCTGATGTTGGAACAATCGATCAAATGACATCGACACATATTGGATAGCGATAAATAATCAATAATAAAATAGTTTGATACAAATTGACTTCGGAAGAAGAAGGTAGAGGATTGTCAAAATGGAGGCGCACAAGGCAGAGTTGAGGGAGAGCCCAAAAGTCAAAGCGAATTGCTTTTCTTTGATATTTTTCTGGTAAGTAAAATGATAATAGTAAACTATCAAATAACTAGTTGGTATTGGTATTTTGCCTTGAGGCAAAAGGTACATGAACTTCCCGATATATGTAATTAATCGACTTAATCAATGATAAATAAATTAATTTATTAGTAAATGAAAGTATTCCGAGTGGATTTATAACACTTAATTGAAAATGAACAAACACGTTAACTCGGAGGATTTTCTAGAAGCAAATTTTCAAAAATCTTAGTAATTGAACCAGTTTCCGTAGGACTTTAATGGTTTAGTACGTTCATTAAGACCAAGTACTCTATCGTTATACCAAGTAAATCGTCTAATGTTAATTTCAACCAACGTCAAAAAAACTACTCATTTTTTCAAATTTTGATATTTTTTTTAAATTAAACTACATGTCGTAAGGCCGTAATATTTCAATAAGTTGTATAAGACCATAATATATATCATCAAAAAAAGTTCCATAAAAATCGGCTTGATTTTTTTTTAACAGTTAATTACAAGAAAACGACTCATTAGATTTTCCCCTAAAACTAATCAGTATCATTCCCAACTAATATCTTTCGAAGAGTTTTTGATTTTTTTAAATCGATACGGTAGTATGAGCTTAAATGTGGACGAAAAGCTTAACACTTTTTTTCCAAATTACAAAAAAACGGCTCGGCCGATCGTCGCACAAAACTGACAAATTATAGTCCTCTTTGAGATACATCAAATGTCTTTTAAATTTCTAAAATCGGTTCAGGCGTTCTTGAACAAACGTCGATGGAAAGTCTAATATTGACAAATGCCAAAAAAACGATATTAATTTTTGTAAACTTCGAAGAATTTTTAAAATGAAACGACTCGTCGTAGAGACGTAATATTTGAGTATGATCTATAAGACTGTGGTATCTACTGTAAAAAAAAATCATAAAAATCGTGAAAAAATTTTTTTAACACTTTATTACAAGAAAACGGCCCGGTCGATCTTTACCAAAAACTAATCAGTTTTCGATCACGATTCCCAACCAATATCTTTCGAACAGGCTAAAACTTGGACGAAATTTTTTTCACTTTTCTGCGATTTACAAAGAAACGGCTTGGCTGATTGTCGCGCTAGATAAACTCTAGTCCTCAATGTGATACATCGAATGGCTTTTAAATTTTTGAAATCGGTCCAGCCGTTTTTGGGAAAACGTCGATTTACGACAAAAAATCTGTTCACATACACATACACACACACACACGAACACACACATACTTTTTCCAAATTTGGTCTCATTCGATTCAGAATGGCTTGAAACGTCGAGAAAGCATAAAATTAGCGACTCGAATTTTTTGATGAAAACATAAACTTCTCCTCATAACATTAAACACATGCTTCAAAAAAACTGGGAAAAAATTATTAATTTTTTATCAGAAGTGTTTGTTTGTTTTCACATAAATTCTGCTCAAATGTTACAATTTGCTGCTCGTTTCCTAGATTTTTCATTACCAACAACGCACTTCAAATAATTATGCAAATCATATAACAATATAACGCATAAAATACCGCATTCATAAATATAAAATCGATATAAATTACCATTATAATAACAACTTTTATATTAATGAAATTCCTGTGATTACGTTTTGTTGTATATTAAATGTTTACTACAAGAAACACGTGTTAGGAACGTTTACTACTGTTTTGACAATTATTATTTTATTACTGTGACATTTAATTGTTCAGTTGTGGAGGTCGATGGAATTCCAATAAATTTATTCATGATCTGTTGTAGTAATCGGATCATTAAATACCTATAATTATTTTAATTCGATTAAACATTTACGTCATATGCACTTGTGAGAAATATTGTTTAGAACAACTTTCATACAAATAATGGATTTATCATACTTGCATCAGTTGCTAGCGATATCAGAGTAACAAGAAGATATTAATTAATATTAGAGGCTTAATACAAAATGACTTAAAATGATATGATAAAAAACCTATGACCAATTATTCTTAGTAAAAGACTGCAAACTTAAAAAGAGCATCAAAATTTTTCACCTAGTACCTACTACCTAGGTAGTAGGAACAAGGTGAAAAATTTTGATGTTCTAATCATGGTGAGATGAAACAAACAGAATAAGTATTTTTTTTAAATCTGATGACAATATTATTATTTTTAACAATTTACAAATTTTTAATGATCTAATGACTATTAGTGATCAAATTTTCCTTACTACCAAGTAGTAGGTACTAGGAGAAAAATTTTGATGTTCTAATCTTGATGAAATGAAACAAACAAAATAAATATTTGTTTTTAAAATCCGATGACAATATCATTATTTCTAACAATTTACAAATTTTTAATGATCTAATTAGTGATCTAATTTGCCTGACAACCAGGCAGTTGGTAGGAGGAGAAAAATTTTGACGTTCTAATCATGATGAGATAAAACAAATAAACAACAAAATAAGTATTTGTTTTTTGAAATCTGGCGACAATATAAATATTTTTAACACTTTACAAATTTTTGATTATCGAATGACTATTAGTGATCTAATTTTCCTGACTACCAGGTATAGCTATTAGGAAAAAAATGTTGATGTTCTAATCACGATGAAATGAAACAAACAAAATAAATATATGCTTTTTTAAATCTGATGACAGTATCATTATTTTTAATACTTTACAAATTTTCAATGATCTAATGACACCTAGAGATCTAATTTGACTGATCTACAGCACGACTATCTCAAATATGAATAAAAAATTAGGTGCATGTAATATTTTGTCTTATGGTGAATTGTAACTTCCCGAATTAATATTTATCAAAAATAACAAATATAGTTTAACTTTTATGTGAATTATTCGTCAACCTCTACCCATCAACCTCTTTAACTATTTATCTATTTACCTCTTCATCTGTCTACCTGCCTTTTTTCCCATTTGCCAATTTCACTGCCTGTTTACCTGTCTGTTAGTCTTCTGTGGACTATCGGATTACCTAGCTACTTGTCCACCTTTTGACCTGGCTCCTTGTCCACCAGTTTTCCTGACGACCTTGTCCATTAGTTTTCCTGGCTCCTTGTCTACCAGTTTTTCTGATCTCTTGTCGACCAGTTTTCCTGGCTCCTTGACCACCTGTTAACCTGGCTCCACCAGTTTTCCTGACAACTTGTCCTCCTTTTCACCTGGCTACTTATCTACCAGTTTTCCTGGCTCTTCACCTGGCTATTTGTCTACATTTTCACCTGGCTATTATTTCTCCTCTTTATCTGGCTACTTGTCCACCAGTTTTCCTGGCTCCTTGTCTACCTATTCACCAGGTTACTAATTCACCTGTTTACCCGGCTACTTGTCCACCTGTTCACCTATCTACGTATCTACTTGTTTACATATATGGTTATAAAACCGTTTGTCTACCTGTTTACCTGTATACCCATTCATCTCTCCACCTGTCTTCCTTGCTTTTTTGCCCATTTACCAAATTATCTATCTTTCCACCTGTTTATATTCACAAGTTAGTCTTCTGTTCACTTGCCTACCATTTTACCTGTTTTTTACATATCTGAGTATCCACTACATAATTATATGTCTATCTATTTACGACCTGCATGTATACCTTTATACCTATCTACTCATGTACCTCTCTACCTGTTTACCTGTCTTCTTGCCCACTTGTCAACTGCTCTACCTTTTTATCTATTTACCTGTCTGTTACTCTTCTGTTCACCTGTCTATCTGTTTACCTGGCTACCTGTCTACCTATTCACCTATCTACGTATCAACCTGTTTACATGTCTGTGTATCCATCCGTCTGTCTACCTGACTACATGATTATCTGTCCACCTATTCACAGTCTACATGTAGAGCTAGTTCACCTGTCTACCTGTCCACCTATTCACCTTGGTGATACGTCGAACCCCTCATCCTTGGTGATACGTCGTGATATTTTAAATTACCTCCACTCTTCTACCAAACATCACGTGTATTTTTATTTCGTAAAACTTTTTGAACGATTTTTTTCGAAAATTCGTTTTTTTTCATTTTCATGGAAAATATAGGTGATATCTTACTAGACATCTATCTCCCTCCCCGACGTGATTTTTTGTAATTTTTCGTCAAATCTCCCTTTTACTAAAAACCTCACCTGATTAATGGACGCCCTCTTATCTGTCTACCTGTCCACCTAGTCACCAGTCTATCTATCTACCTCTTTATTATCCTACCAGTTGATCTGTCTCTTTTTCTACTCCACTACCTAATTATCTGTTGATCTGTCTAACTGGCAATCTGACCACCTGTATAACTGTCCTCCTTGCCTACCTATTTTTCTACCTGCCTAACTAAAAACTTTTTGAAGTAAAGATATTCAAAACTTTTTAGTTTTGATTTTTTGCAGTGCTTAATAAATAAATTATCAGAAGTAAAACGTTAGTTCGTAACCAAAAATATTGTTCAAAACCTCGCAGAATATTATTGTATCACTTGATTTTCCTAATTATATAATTTGTATAAAAATCCCCTGTTTGATAATATACAAATTTAGTGAACAAAACATATTAAAGTTTGTTTATAAGTCATAAAACAATAAAATAATTATTCTCAGAAATTGTTATTCTACGTAATTAGCAAAAGATTTAAATCAAGTATATCACGACTAGACATTTACACTTGAGATGCATTATTTACTCCAACAGTGATGGTAAAATTCTGTTTTGAATTATAAATATAAATTTTGTTTGATTCCTTATTCAGTAATCGATTTTATCAAATATTATTTAAATTTTATATGATCTCTTTGTCTATTTGTATACATCTCTACTTTTCTACCTATCTACCTATCTACCTTTCCACCAGTTTACCTGCCTACTTGCCCACTTGCAAACTTCTCTACCTTTTCATATAAAGAAATGTTTTTTATAAAGTTAAATGTTTATTATTAGAAAAACATGAGCTGGTGCAAACTACTCATGGGTCCGATCCTAACTTTGCCCAGCTTGATATGAAGCAGTATTATATGAAATTTTCAATTGAAGTTATAGATCTGAAATATAATACCAAGTTGAAAATGATTTTTAAGGGCACAGTTAAAACGTATATACGCCATTGTCATTAGATATATGTATATCTTATATATAAAAATGGATCGCAAAATGTGTTGGTAAGCGCATAACTCAACAACGCCTGGACTAATTTGGCCAATTCTTTTTTTAAAATGTTCGTTGAGGTCCAAGGATGGTTGTTACGGCGAGAAAAAAACGAATAATTGCCGGGAAAACCCTAAAAACAGCCCTTTTCTTCTTTAATCGAGTAGGCAACGCAATTTATAAAAAAAACAATGATCTATGTCATGACATTTTGTGTAGTTTTTGATAATCTAATTTTGAATATATTTATATAAACATAGAAATATTTTTCTATTAATCAAGCTATATTGGCAGCCAAAAACATTGATGTAAATTTATTAAATTTCAAAATTCAAGAACAAATTACAGGCGAATCAGTTGATTCGGCAACTAACCAAGACGATCCACCGGAGTTTTTAAACTTTAAACTCGCTGGATTTGCTAGGATTGTCACCTCACAATCTTCAATTAAAGGTTGGATCGGCAATTATAATGTTGCGAAATATCGACCAACTATATTCAAAGGATAGTATAAAGCAGAAGATGTTCTCGCACCATGCATCCCAATGCGTTTCCAGTGCGTTTATGGTGTCATTAAGTGTTTGTGGTATTAATTTAGAAAACCCATATTTCTCACATGGAAAATTGTATGTTTTTGTTCCCGTATTGGAAAACGATCAAATCGTTTATCACAAAGCACTACAATGAAAATTGAACTGATTTTTGAATTATGATTTACATTATTAAAATTACTTACTTTTAAATGCTTATAGTGTTTTATTTAATTATTCTTAATTCACACCGAATTATTACCAGGGTGACGGTTCTGTTCAGGATAATTTTTTGCAAAGAATAGAAAAAAGGTAGGCACAAAACACCGCCACATTACAATTTTTTTTGACAGGACGGAGTCTGTCGGACCGGCTAGTATGTAATAAATATAACCTACATATAAACTAGAAGAGTGGTTGACCACTGGGTTGCCCCGAGGACAAAATACCTGGTATCCTAACCTAGGTCAAAATTTCTGATTGATATTAAAGAAATATTTCCAAAATATCTCATTTCAAATTTTTTTCTAAATATTACTATATTAAATGTGTCGCCAAAATCCATTATTTACTTAAATAGAATGATTTGCGATTTATGTGATTTATGTGTGCATGTTCCTGGTGCATTTAATTTTAAACGAATGCTCGGCATGAATTCTCAATCATTTTAAATAATATAAAAATTGCGATAAAGAACATGCGATTTTATTTTAATTCGAATTTTGTAATAAAAACTCAATGTCATATGATTTTTTATAAATTATTGTCACGATTAAGTGGAAAACACGTGGAGGAAATTATTTCAGAAATAGATTTTGCTTTTTAACTTGCCGTAGGGTGAGTTATAGTTTTCGCAAAAAAATCAAAAATGAAAATTTTTATATATTTTTACGGTTCAAAAGGTTCTGAACATTTTGGTATATCTTAGAGAAAATGAATGTATGTCCATTTCTGTTTTTAAAGTCTTTTTATACGGTTCAAACAAATTCCAAAATTTTCAGAAATTCATAAGAAAGTTATAACGATTGTTCTATATTATTTGCATGGTGTGACAATAATAATTCGTCTCGAATTGTGTTTACGATTTCATATATATAGCAAGAAGAGGTGTCAATAAAATTTACGCCGTCGTAAATTTTAAAACAATTATCATTGTCGAGCACGAAACAATATGATAACGAGAACAAACATATATATTATACGCAGATAGTTATATGATACTATATTATAATACGGGACAGGAGTTGGCAACAATTTTAGTCGAAAACTGCATCAAACTAGGTGTGTATGGCATCGTGCCTTAAGGTAAATTGCTGAAACTTCCCGTACCAGAATTCGAGGGAGAAAAATCAGTAAGCAATAACAATTTTTCTATGATTTACAAGAAATGTTTTAAACATTTTCAAATAGATAATTATAATCACTATATATTTTATCGTTCATAAAATATAAAGTGGCTATCTTATTGCTCAAAACACTTGAGAAAGTTTACATTAGCAAGAGGTGCCCAGTGAATCCATCTGAGGATGTATTTCTTACGGTTGAAGTAACGCATTTGAAATATAACCATTTACAAATTAAATTGTAAATTTAAAATTCATATTGGAAGTATAAAACTTTGTATATTTTTGAAAATTTTGAAATTTTTTTTTCGAAAAATTTTGAAATTTGCTTGAGTCATATAAGTAAACTTTAAAAATTAACGGTTGGTACGGAACTCAACAAAATTGTAACAAAAAAGAGTACCCATATTTAAAAACTTTATCAAATATCTGATAATTTGATGTGCATAAGTCTAATGTTCATTTTTGACCCCCATCAGATACCTATTTTTTTTTTCTTTGTATCTCCAAAACCGCTAGACCTGCCTCACCAAAAACTTGATCAATTATTCATTTCGTTATTAGAAGTAAAATGTTTTTTAAAGTAAATAAACAAAACTCAATCAAGCGGAGTTAGAATGAAGGACCTTATCTCATATTTCTAAAAATTATATAAACTGAATTGCAATGTTAAAATTACTTATTTCAAGTATGCAAGTGTAATTTAGAATTTTAGCTGGAATTAAAATAAATCCGAATCAATTTCGATATACAAAAAAAATTTTTTTTGAATAATATTGTCGCTCGCTTCTCTATATTATTGATTTGTGTCACATGACTGACTTTTTCATCACAACTACTTAAAAGGTCTAAAAATAACTATAAAGGTCCTATTAACTATTTGATTAGAATAAGGCGTTTATCTATACTATAAATTGAAGTATTTTTCGGCATTTTTTTAAATTTATTTTTGGTAAGGCAGGTCTAGCGATTTCGGAGATACAGAGGATATAACAATCAGATCTATTTACATACCTTATGAGTTATATGGCTAAATTACACATAATAATAAAATAATAATAATAACAATAATAGCCATAGAAAGAAATAAAAACACTACTAATAATTATAATAAATAAATAAATAAAAATGAATTAAAAATAAAGAAAAATAAATAAATAAAAAATAAAAGAAAAAAAACAAATTGTAGTAATTGCTCCAATAAGCAATTGACTATGAAAAACATTTTTTTTACGTTAATTCTATAGGCTGTTTTTTGTGTAGTAAATTGAAGTATGTGAACTTTTTTTGCTTATAAAATAAGGCATATTCAGTCCAAATAAAGTTCGTAGCATTTTTAATATTCAATGATGAAAATATGTTCAAACAAAATAAACTAAGCAAGTCGATAGAACCCAGATATACTCATATAAAAAGCCCAGATAAAAAAAATAAAACAAATATTTTCAGAGTTGTATTTTGATTATTACTCATTAATTAATGAGGTATAATTATTTACTTAACAAATAACATTTAGGAAAACTCGATTTTATAAAATACAACATTTAGAGGCTTCAAAAAATCGCTCTTTTTGAGGAATTTTTAGAGAAGAAAATAAATATTTAATTGAAACAATACTTTCAGGTTTTATTGTTATATATTTCAACATTCTTCTCAATTTTTTTCATTAAAATACAAGTAATAATATGCCGGGCATAAGCATTTTGCGCCACGCGCTCGTCAATTGGCAGGTTATAATTTCCATCCGAAAGAAAAAACCAAAACAAATGTATATTTTCAATAGTATAGATTTTAGTTAAATCTAAAAAATTCAGAAAAAAGTGAGAAATTCACCAATTTTTCGTGTTAGGGATAAATTCTTGGGTATTTTTGAAAGACATTTTTGCAAAAAAAAAGGATTTTTTAAAGCCTCTAAAGCAGACTCCCACTTAATTCAGTTTGTGAATTTTATGTTCACTGTATTTTTGATGTATGTAACTAAATGCTACAGAGAGGTAATAAAAAACAAAAAAATCCAAAAATTTATTCTTGACTAAATTCATAACTAATGTAAGTTGCTACGCTTGATTTTAATAAGTTTATAAACGAGACGAATGTAACAAACATCATGAATTGAAATGAGAATAGTTGTTTTCTAGACATAATATATTATTAGTATGATTAATTCCTATTTTTTTTTTTTGTAAAAATGTTTGCAACCCCTGTTTTTATTCGAATTTATATCGTGCATGCGATCAATTGTTGTGTTACTAAATATAGTTTAACTATTTCGTAAAACGCACACCGATGAATTATATATGAAAAATGTCTTCACACGCGAACTAATAAACTTTCATAAAATAGTATATTTGTTCGGGAAATCTTTTTAGTTATTTTTGTAAAATCATACTTATCGAAAGAAAATAATCTGAATAACTTTTGTACTTTAGATTAGTAGTGAAGCCCGTCACGTGGTTTACAGACTAGAAACGCGCACTGGCCTTAACCTCGGTCAGCTCGATATCAAGCAGTATTATATTGAATTTTCGCTTGACATTATAGATCGTAAATAAACTGGGCAATCTGCAAAATATATTCACGCCGACGCTAGTAGATATGACAAAGAAGTGGTTGACCGCTAGGTTGTCTTTTCAAAAAAAAATATTAGGTTAAGATATACCAGAACAAACTTAGCTGAAAAAACCCGTAGTACTGATAAAATAATAAAATGAAAATTATATACAAACAATAAAATTATTTTATCTTATAATTTTTTTCAGGTGGATGAAAGAAATTTTCACAACCGGAACAGCCCGAAGTTTGAAACAAGAAGACTTATATGCGCCTCTTAAGCGGGATGAATCGGAGGCTCTGGCAGATGAATTGGAGAAAAATTGGAACCGAGAATTGCAGATCAGTTTGAAGGAAAAAAGGAAACCTAGATTGATCAACGCCATCAAGAGCAGTTTCCTTAAAAGTTACTCCTTTTGGGGACTTATAGTGTTCATCGATTTTGCTTGCATTAGGTGAGTAAATAGTCTAATAAATTCTACAACTATTCCACATTAATAAATATGACTCATAGCACCCTCAACAAAATAAATTGTACTTAAGATGACAATTAATTCAGGTGACCTTAGGTGTAGTATTTTAATTGCCAACTATGTCGAGGTAAAACTAGGAACTTATGATATCCAATTCACTACTGCTTACAATTAAAAATTCTAGGAATCCTGCTAATTAACTAAATATGTAATTGGAATATGTACTGCAAAATGATATTCTCTCCTTACAAGATTCTAATGAGAAATCTAAGATGTAAGGTGGAAATGAAAATTATGGCAAAGGTCAAACTCTTCCTTATTTAGATAATAAAATTTTGTAGACAAAATTTGTATAAATTGAAAATAATATAAATGCATTTTTTTCACAATTTTTAAATTCAGAGAATAATTTTTGCAAGATAAAATACTAGTTTTTTATAGTTTAATAGTTATTTATCTGATGTCGGATTCTTCGACTTGTTTTCCAGTTACCAGAATATCGCAAAAACAAATTTTATGTAACAATTCGCGGATGTTATCCATTATTCATTAACATTTGAATTGTTGACAAGAAATTAATCACCGATAAACAATTAGGAAAATGAATTGTCGTCAATTTCCGCGTAAATAAAATGCATCACACAATGCACTAGATGCATTTATTATGTAATACGAAATTATAATTACAAACAAGTTTCAACAAAAAATACGTTTTGAACTGGCCATGTAGTCTGACAAACACTAATTCCGGGTTCGATATCAACCTGGAAGAGCTTGATATCAAGCGGTATTAAAAAAATTTATAAAGATTATCAAAAATTGTATTTTTCGAACATGTGAATTTCAAGCAAAATCCGATTGTGACCATTTTATATATTTTGATTTTTTTGTATAAAAAATATAAAGGGAATTTACTTCGGTTTCTGTTTTTAGTAAAACTATAATCAGAGGATATTCATTATTAATTTGGGAATAATTATAATTAGTACCCAGTGGCATTTTGCCTTAAGGCAAGTTGCAAAAGCTTTTGGATGCGTGAATAATCTACTTATCGTTTTTCAATAATAATTATGATTTTTCAATATTTAAAACTGTAGCAAAGTTTTCGTAAGTTTATTTTGAAAATCAGGTTTTTGCTTTTTAATAAAAACTAATAGAATTTCTGTAAGCATAATGAAATATCAAATGCAAAATATAGTATATAATACAACGATAAACTAGTGGTGTAAGGCATCGTGCCTTCAGGCAAATTGCTGAAACTTCCCGTACCAAATTAAAATTTTGAAAATCCGATTTTTTTAATTTTTTATTTATTAAATAAAAGATTTTTTTTCTTTTCCTAAAAATTATCCTTTCGTCAACACAAGCAGAAAGTTTTAATATCATTCAAATTTTAAAATAATTCAAATCAGATGCTTATTTCTCTCAAAAACTGCCATTTTATGTACATTTTGCTTCGTATCTCCGAAACAGCTTGACCTGCCTTTGCCAAGAACTAATCACCACTTCTTCCCTTCATTACGAATTAAATGTTGTTTGAATCATTCGAATCGGATGCTCCGTTCTTTCAAAAATTCGATTGCTATTTTCGGCACGCTTTGCTAAGTAACGCCTAAACGGCTGCAACTGCTTTTGCCAAAAACTACTCAGTACATCTCCCTATTAAAAGGAATCGAATATTTTTTGAACCATTCAAATCGGTTGATCGGAAAATAAATGAAAATGTATATTTTATATATCTGTTCCTATGTTCTATATAAAATTCCATGTTGCATAATAATGAGTTATTATGACAAATTATGATTAAATTATGTAATTAATCATTATTTTCTATGAACATTGCATACGTGGTTTTCTCGATCAGTCATTCAATTATATTTTGAACAAAACACGTTTTAACTATTAGTTAAATCATCGAAAGACCAGATAGTTAAGCAAGTGACATAACACTTTTATAATTTATATATATTTTTCCTGAAATTCTGAGTATTTTTAATTTTTTTTACAATATAATAATCTGCTCCTGAAAATTTAACAAGTCTATTCACTCACAATACCTTTCAGAATTGTCTAGTATGTATTTTACCAAACTTGTGCCTTTGTTGTTTATTATTTTGCCTATGTATATCTATATTATATTCACACATTTTCTTCAAAAATATTTACACAAAGGGGCATTCATTAATCATTAATCACGTGATCGATTTTTTAGGGATTTTTGAAAAAGATAAATAAACATTTTAAAGTTACTTCGTAATACAAATCTTGATTTAATGAAAAATGCCTGAATCAGAAGAATATTTTACCCTGTTCTTTGAAAATAAAAAAACAAATTAAACATTTGTGCCGTGTACCAAACATAAGTTTATTGATTAGAAATTATTTCTGTATTATTCGTTGTTTCTATAAATTTTTGAAGCTATTAAAATGGAAAATATTTTTAGGCAAGACAGATATTACATCTGTTCAAAGAATGAGATTATATCGCCAGCGAAAAAGTAAAAAAAATACAAGCAGTCAATGAATGTATGTTAATTTTAATTACATGCATTTCTTCGAGCATAATTATTACATGATGAGTCAAGTGGCGAAAACAATATTTGTTTAGGCGTTGTTTAACATAATCCACTGTGTGAACGAATATTATAGAAATTATTAATCAGCAATTACTTCATTTCTTTAATAAAGATTCAAGTCCTAAATGCTAATTACAATGACAAACCGATCATGTCATATTTGAAGTATGACTTTAATTACATTATTGTTTTTAAATATTATACATGTTTTAATGCTATTATAAATATATAATTTATAATTTATCTTTATATAAATGTGTATGATGGTTGACACTAATAAATGTGTGCATCACGAGTGTTACCATATTACTGATGAACATTATTCAAAATTGTTATATGATGTATTTATTTTCATTTAAATGCCATCTTGTACAGTAGTAAATAAGTTTTACTTCAATCGCGTGTGAACCTTTCGCGCATTCTTTTTTTTAAATTCGGGTAAAAAATAAATACACGTGATATCTTACTAGAACCCTCTCTCACCCAGGTGAATTTTTGTGAATTTTTGTGATTTTTTGTCTCCTACAAGACTCACGTGGTTAATGGACGCCCCCCAAATACCTCCAAATAAAATTCACAAACAAATCTCATTGCATTATACCAAATAATCCTTGAATTTTAGGTATTTTTGGACCACCCCCCCCTTCAAGATATTCAAAATTACCCTTCTCCCCCACCAAACAACACGTGTATTCTTAGTTGCGTGAAATTTTTCGAACAAAATGTAAAATTTTCTTGTATTACACTAAATTATCTAAAGCCAGGTGCACACGACGCCAGAATTTCTTGTAACATATTCTGTCAAACTTTTATCGTAAGGTGAGCGTAAGGTAAACTGTTATCGTAAGGAAACTATTTTGTTGGAATGGAAACATAAAACATATATGTATTAGAATAAATCCATGTGATGATCTCATCTTCTTTCTATAAGTATTAAATAAAATAATAATAAAATGTTAAAGTCATATTTTAAGTTTAAATACGCTCATCTTGCGATAAAAGCTTGACAAAAAATATGTTACAAAAAATACTGGCGTCGTGTGCACCGGGCTTAAGACGTTGATACAAAATCCATCTAAATCTAGTATCTTCTTCTGTTTCCAGGATACTGCAGCCGATATGCCTCAGATACTTAATATCATACTTCGATCCTCAAAGTGAAATGACTAAACAAGAAGCCTGGATTGCTGCAACCTGCGTGGTTCTCCTGAGCGTCATCCTGCTCTTCATTTACCATCACAGCACTTTGCAGCAGATGCAGATCGGGATGAGGTGCAGGGTTGCTTGCTGCTCCTTGGTTTACAGAAAAGTAAGGAAAACCCAGAAAAAATATTATTTTACCTTCAAACCGATTAGACAAAAAGGAACCTGTTTAATTGTCTTTTTCCAGCTACTAAGACTAAGCAGAGCCTCTCAATCCCATCGAGTATCAGCTGGTCATCTGGTGAACTTGATGTCGAACGATGTCCAACGTTTCGACATGGCATCCGAGTACCTTAATTTCATTTGGATCATGCCAATCCAGGGAATAATAATAGCTCATGTGATCTACAGATCTGTTGGAATTGCTATGTTTGCAGGAGTTTCTGCTATCGTGATACAGAGCGTTCCTTTACAAAGTGAGTAGAAAATAATAAATTATATAATAGTCAGCAAATACATTCAATCTACTGAAGTTTTTTTTTATTGTTGATATAATTTACACTTGTTCGATAGACATTTAGTGAATTTTATGAGTAATATTACAAAAAAGAAACTGTCTGCAAATAAATTGTTGAATACTTGGAAGAGTGCACAGTTGCATTCTCCCCTGGATTGAAAAATAATGGATATAAATTGACTTGGGATCCACTGTACATATTTTCTATTTTTGGTCATCATTATATTCATCAGTAAAAAACCAAGAATTTGTAAAAACATTTGACTTCAATTTAATATAAAATTTCAATGACATCATCTCTACCAGACATTTGAAATTATCATAACAATAAAACTTACATAAATATGCAACTATACTTTTTTTGCTTTGAAGTCTGGGGACATAATCGTTTAAAAAAATTATGTTATGACAATTTGTACACATATTACAAAAAATGCATCTTCTCGGATGAGGTGCATTGTTTGTTTAATCACCTGTGTCTTTTGTGACAATGGATAAACAAAAACTAGTTCCAACTCGATTTGGATGCAATTAGACAAGGCGCCAACGACGCACTACCACCAAAAAGTATAATAATAGTGATGATATACAAACAAAAAAGAGTGCGCGTAAGGTTCACACGCGATTGAAGTAAAACTTAAAAAAGTAGCAAATTTAAGTTAAGTAAAAATATATACATCATATAACAATTTTGAATAATGTTTATTAGTAATATGGTAACACTCGTGATGCACTCATGCATTCGCTAGTGTCGACCATTATACACATTTATATAATGATAAATTATAAATTATATATGTATTTATAATAGCATTAAAAATATGTATGATATTTAAAAACAATAATGTGATTAAAGCAATACTTCAAATATGACATGATCGGTTTGTCATTGTAATTAGCATTTAGAAATTAACCTTCATTAGAGAAATGAAGTAATTACTGACTAGTAAATTCTATAATATTCGTTCACACAGTGTATTATGTTAAACAACGCCTAAAGAAATATTGTTTTCGCAACTTCACTCATCATGTAATAATTGTGTTTGAAGAACTTTATGTATTTAAAATTAACATACATTCATTGACTGATGGTATTTTTTTACTTTTGCGCTGGCGATATAATCTCATTCTTTTTTCCTTCTAATCAATAAACTTACGTTCAATACACGGCACAATTGTTTTATTATTTTCAAGAAACAGGGCAATATATTCTTCTGATTTATTTTTCATTAAATCACGATTTGTACTACGTATACAACGTTGATGCCGGTACGCATACAACGATAAATGTCTATTCACATGCACGACGACTAATCACAATCGACCCGTATAGAAATGATCTCATCGAAAGCGAATGACGAACTGTTCGGGCGTAACGGACTTCCGTTGCATTTGTACGGATTTACACCCTAGTCGCGCTAAAGAAGTTTCACTTCAACTAGTCCAGAGTTTGAAGCCAACTCGACCAGGTCGATATCAAGCAGTTTAATATGAAATTTTCTCTTGAGTTTACAGGTCTCAAATAAGATCAAGTAATCGTCTTTGTTGAAAGTATTAAAAGACACAACTAACTCAAATTATCTCAAATTAATTATTTCCACAAAAAATGTGTGAATTTTTTTTTAATAATCATATGTTATGTAATCCAATTGTTTTTTTATTCCAGGTTACCTCAGCAGATTGTCTGCCAATTTAAGATTAAAAATCGCCCACCGAACAGATGAGAGAGTAAGATTGATGAACGAACTCCTAAATGGTATCCAAGTGGTAAAAATGTATGCCTGGGAAGAGCCTTTTAGGAAATTGGTGGCAAAGGCCAGAAAGTAAGTAAAAATTATAGTTATCAAATTATGCTTGAAATATTAGTAAACTAGTGGTGTGTGGCATCGTGCCTTAAGGCAAATTGCTGGAACTTCCCGTACCGTAATGAAATATTCGAGAAATTTTAAACGTATTCAAATATATCATTACAAATACTGTAATTTTCATTATTTTTACTATCTTGTTATATCTGAGTAAATCAAATGTAAATCATAAATCAATTTATCTCCAGAACATTAACAATCGTCATTTCATTTCGAATTCAATTTAAAAAAAATAATTGCCCAAAATAATTACACGAAATTGGAAAATATAGTATAGTCACAGTCTAAACGCATTTGCAAATATTTCTGTGCGACATTTTCACTTATACTGTGCTTAGCTTAGCGGCGTTTTCACATTTTTCAATAGTTTTCATAAAATTGGAAAAGTACAGTCTAAACGCACTTGGGTAAACATTTGTACTAGAGTGACGCTTAGACTGTGCTTAGCCTGGGTAATTTTTTGAATCTTCAATCTAAAATTACAAATATATTTTATGGAAAATAAAAAAGATGTAATAATTTTTCATCCTCAGAAGCAATGGTTTTGTCCTACAAGCAGAAAGTTTTTAGATCATTCAAATTGGACGTTAGTTCACTCAAAAACTGCCATTTTTTGCACATTTAGCTCTGTATCTTCGAAATGGCGAGACCTGTCTTTGCCAAAAACTAATCACCTTTTCTCCCATTCATTACAAATTGAATGTTTTTTAGAGCATTCGAATCCGATACTCAGTTCTCTCAAAAACTCGATTTGAATTTTCTGCACCTGCCTTTGCTAAAAACTAATCAGCACATCTCCCTATCAATAGGAATAGAATGTTTTCTAAACCATTCAAATCGTTTGATCCGTGCGCCCGAAAACGTGGACAAAAAATTACATACAAAATACACACACACAAATACACACGCACATCCATTTTTTCTGAGGTATGCCAAAATGTTCAGACACCCCCAAAACGTCGAGAAATGCAAAAATTACACTACGGGAAGTTAAAAACAATATTACATATCTAAATAAATATTTTTATTTCTTTGCAGGTTAGAAATTATCATGGTCAGAAGATCAGCTTACTTGAGAGGAATCTCTTTGGCCATAAATGTTTTTACAGAAAGAACTACACTATTTTTGACTATTTTGGCATGTGTTTTATTGGGACAAGAGGTAATTAATAATCAAAACCATAAAAAAATAATATATTGCCATTAAAAACTAATTTTAGAGTTCACCAGTTCATAATACAACCATTTATAAACTTCACCAATAAATAAGTCATCAAGCTGGATAATTAACACTCTCCTGATAAAAAATGGAAATAAATGAATCATTATTTATGAGAATTTATTTAATAAGTAAATAGTTAAAATTATATGATTGTCAATAAAATATTGTGAATTTTTGTTGTTTTTTCAACATGCCCTTGTAGTATACGACGTCCCTTTTCGGTCGACTATTGTAAATTCATCAAATTTATTGAATGTCCTTCATTGGACAGATGTAAATGAAAGAGATAATAATAATAATAAAAAAGCTGGATAATATAATAATTTATAACTAATAATTACGTTTATTAATGATATAATTTGTGGACTCTAATATTTTTTTTACAATTCTATTATTTTTCCAGATACACGGTAACATTGTGTTCTCTTTGGCACAAATGTATAACATTCTGCAACTGACTATGGCTATTTTGTATCCAATGGGAATGACATTTGGAGGTGAAGCCTTGATCTCAGTTAAAAGATTACAGGTACAAATCTTATGGGATTCTTTTGTGACATTAATAACAGATATCCTAAAATCCTTAATTTTTTAAAATATAATACATAATTCCAAATAAATAAAATATAATTCCAAATAATCACAATTTTTGTTCTGAACTTTCTTTTCTTTTCTATAGGAGTTCCTAATGCTAGAAGAATGCACAGACAGCCGACCAGAATATTCAGAAAAAATCAAACCAGTCAACGGAAACTCTGATCTCCACAAAAACGGAGGATTCAAATCAGATTCCAAAGTTCACCAGATCGAAATGACCAGACCTTTATCCAGGAATATAACCGAAGAATCAGAAAACGTCACCGAATTGGATAAATTACTGGTGAAACCTCCTGAAGATACTGGAATCGATAGAGTGAATGCCAGTATTAAATCAGGAACTGTGATTTTGAAGAATTGCAAAGCCAGTTGGAAGGAAAGTTCTATAACTAATACCTTGAATTTGAATTTGAATTTGAGTAAAGGAGTTTATTGTGCTGTTGTTGGACCTGTTGGATCGGGAAAGGTAATAAAATAATAATGCCTTACAAAATTTACACTGCAATCACCTAAAAATTAATCAAGTGTAAAGAAAATAACTATTCTTATGTAAGCATTTAGGACTTCTTGGGGAGATTTTCTTTCCCCTTCTTTTTTTGGACAAGATCAGAATCCTATGTCTGTTTTCAGGTTTCTGGAAGGAATTTACGTGGATTGATAATTTTTTCTTATAATTTTCAGAGTTCTCTCCTACAACTCCTTTTGCGAGAATTGCCAGTAAAATCTGGAACCATGCAAGTAGAAGGTACAACTTCCTACAGTTCTCAAGAAGCTTGGCTTTTCCCAGGGACAGTCAAAAATAATATCTTATTTGGTCTGCCTTTTAACAAAGAAAGATATGACAAGGTAAATATAAGAAAATTATTTTTAAATCATATTCTATTACTCAAATTTTATATATTTAAAGTACCACTTGCTGCAATCATTATGGCACCACTTTTGGTTTCTTCATTAATTTAAATTTAGAAGTTTTTCATAAAATGCAAATATTTCCCTAGATTAAATAACTTGTTTTCACATATGGTGAGATTTAGTAAAATAAAGAATGTCTTGCATTTGCCTAAGATGAAATCTTCCATGAAATACAGCATTACAAGTTTATGTTTTCATAAAAAAATCCTATTCGCTAATTTTATGTTTTCTCGACGTTTCAAGCCATTCTGAATCGAATGAGACCAAATTTTGGAAAAGTATGTGTGTGTGTATGTGAACAGATTTTTTGCCGTAAACCGACGTTTTCTCAAAAACGACTGAGCCGATTTCAAAAATTTAAAAGTCATTCGAAGTATGTCTTTGAGGACTAGAGTTTATCAAAGTTGCGCGACGATCAGCCCAGCCGTTTCTTTGTAAATTGCGAAAAAATTAAAAAAAATTCGTCCATTTTTAGTCCGCAATTCTTAATCGATCTTGAAAATTCAAAGACCGTTCGAAAGATATTGGTTGGGAATCGTGCGTTTTTGGTAAAGGTCGGTCGGGCCGTTTTCTTGTAATAAAGTATTAAATAAAATTATTTCGACGATTTTTATTATTATTTTTTTGATGGTAGATAGCATAGTCTTATAGATCATACTGAAATATTACGGACCTACGACAAATCGTTTAACTTTAAAAATTTGTTAAAATTTGCAAAAATTAGTATCATTTTTGGGCATTTGTCAAAATTAGAACTTTCATCAAAATTTTCTCAAAAACGCCTGAAAATCGATTTCAGAAATTTAAAAGCCATTTGATGTATCTCGATGAGGACTATCGTTTGTCAGTTTTGTGCGGTGATCTGCCAAGTCGTTTCTTTTTAATTTGGAAAAACGTGTTGAACCCTTTGTCCACATTTAAGCTCATACTACCGAATCGATTTAAAAAAATCAAAAACTGTTCGAAATATATTAGTTGGGCATGATACTGATTAGTTTTAGGTAAAAATCTACCGAGCCGGTTTCTTGTAATTAACTGTTGAAAAAAAAATATAAGCTGATTTTTATGAAACTTTTTCTTAGCGATATATATCATGGTCTTATAGAACATACTGAAATATTACGGCCTTACGACAAGTAGTTTAATTTTAAAAATTTATCAAAGTTTGAGAAAATGAGTAGTTTTTTTGACGTTTGTTAAAATAAAAATTAGACTATTTACTTGGTATAACGATAGAGTACTTGGTCTTAATAAACATGCTAAACCATTAAAGTTCTATGGAAACTGGTTCAATTATAACAATTATTTATATTTGGAAATTTGTTTTTAGAAAATTCTCCAAGTTAACGTGTTTGTTCGTTTTCAATTATGTGTAATAAATCCACTCGAAATACTATTAATCACTCATAAATTAATTTATTTTTTATTGATTAAGTCGATTAATTACACATATCAGGAAATTCATGTAACTTGCCTCAAGGCAAAATACCAATACCAACTAATTTTATTAATATTTCAGGTGGTTTATGCATGTGGACTATCTGTAGACTTCAGACAATTTCCACAAGGTGAAGAAACCGTCGTTGGCGATAGAGGATCATCTTTAAGTGGAGGACAAAAGGCCAGAATTAATTTAGCAAGGTACATAAAAATTATAAATTCCAACAATCAATTGATATATGCCATCATAAGGATGAGAAAAAATTATTAAAAATAGGTACTTGTATTATAAAATTTGTTGAAGTAATACTATTGCTAGTTGCTCTTGGAGTCTATAAGAAGACAGTACAAATATATTAATAAAGTTTTCAAACCAATAAATCAAATTAAAAAAAAACTACAAATCTCTTCTTGATTCCATCTGGTAATTTATTTCATCAATCAATCAATAAACACCATTATAAGGATGACAAAAATTTATTAAAAATAGGTACTTGTATTATAAAATTTGTTGAAGTAATACTATTGCTAGTTGCTCTTGGAGTCTATAGGGAGCAGTACAAATATATTAATAAAGTTTTCAAACCAATAAATCAAATTAAAAAAAAACTTCAAATCTCTTCTTGATTCCATCTGGTAATTTATTTCATCAATCAATCAATAAACACCATTATAAGGATGACAAAAATTTATTAAAAATAGGTACTTGTTTTATAAAATTTGTTGAAGTAATACTATTGCTAGTTGCTCTTGGAGTCTATAAGGAGCAGTACAAATATATTAATAAAGTTTTCAAACCAATAAATCAAATTAAAAAACTTCAAATCTCTTCTTATCTTGAATAATTATAATTTAAAAAATTATAATTATTAAAAATTTATTTTAAATTATTATTTTCATCCATCTTTTACCCCAGGGCCTTATTTCGATCAGCTGACATTTACCTCCTGGATGATCCCTTAAGTGCAGTGGACAACAATGTAGGAAAACACATCATCAATAATTGTTTAAGGATGTCACCAGGTTCAGGTGGTGACAATAAAGAAACTGCAGTTTTGGAAGGGTTTACTAGGATCATTTGCACGCACCAAGTTCATTTGTTGAAGGAAGCTGATGTTATTTTGAGATTGGACAATGTAAGATAGTCAATTCTTGATGTTTTAATTATAGCACTTTGATAATTGTGATCTCCTTTTAGGGAAGTGTTGCACAAACTGGTACATATGAGGAATTATCTAAAACACCAGCATTCCAAGAACTTTTAAATCTTCACACTCATACTGCTGACGATAGTGCACAGAGGAAAAATTCTGAAAGCCAGGACAATGAGGTAAAACTAAATATCTATAGGAAACTCTTTAACAAATTATCAGTATTTGGAAAAAAATGATACTAAGAATTGATTTATTGTATGGTGAGATGTGTTTAAAAAATTCGGTGAAAAGCTATTGACCAATAAAAGAAGTTTGCCATCAATGATTGTTATAAAGATAGTCCATTCTAGTTATAATTGTATGTCCTAAGTATTTGAACCTTTGATCTAAGTTGATCACCAGTTCTTCAACTTTTATTTGTTTTGTTGACAATCGCTAAGGGTTTCAACAATTTTCTGTATCTATTACCTTTTAGGATAAGGAAAATATAGATGAAGACGAAGAACCTCAGTCCATCTCAATAGGAAATGGTGACGTAAAGAAAAACCAGGAACAAATGGCACAAGGATCTATAAGTTGGATGTTGTACTGGAATTACTTTCGATCAGGAAGTGGTGTATGCACTCTGGTCTTCCTTGCAACTTTGTTGATAATGAGCCAGGTTGTTACATCAGCCAGCGATTACTGGCTCACGTTCTGGTAAGATTCTAATTTCTTGCAAATTCCTATTTTATAGCATTGCTAAAAAATTCAATTTTCTGTATTTCAGGACTAACCAGGAAGAAATCCAACGCGCCCTTCGTCGAAATTCATCAACATCCGACAACTCCAGTCTTCCATTCTCATTTGGCAACCTCTTCGACAACCTGGATTTTTCTGTCGACAACAAATCTTTGGATACAACTCAAAATATCACTCTTCCTCCATCTTTGTTAGAGGAATCAGGATTCAACCTAACTTTCCTGGATGACACAGATCTCATAGATTATATTGAAGCAACAAATGGTGGCATGTTGACCAAAAGAGTTGCGATTTATGTCTATGCCACTCTGATTTTGGGATGTATCGCTTTTATGATTGCTAGATCAATTTTGTTCTTCAGAGTTTGCATGAGTGCATCGAAAGTTATGCATGATACCATGTTTTCAAGAGTTTTGGGGACTCCTATGAGGTTCTTCCATTTGAACAACGCCGGTAAGATAATAATCACATATTTTGTCAAAAAAAAATTAAAATAAATCGGAATGCATTAATGGAGCAATCCTGGCGTAACAGAGGTCGAAAAATAGCGTTGTCATGGCAACGCTTTCTTATGCTTGTTTTTGGTATTGAAATTTATGAACATGTCTATCTATTTGCCGTGCGATCAGGCGTATTTCACATATAAACAAATAGACATTTTCATAATTTTCAATACCAAGAAGAAGCATAAGAGAGCGTTGTCATGACAACACTATTTTATGAGCTCTGTTACGGCAAAATTGCACCATTAATATACTTATGTTCTCAAATATTTTAACTAGTGGTGTATGGCATCGTGCCTTAAGGCAAATTGCAGGAACTTCCCGTTCCATAATGAAATATTCAAGAAATTTTAAACGGTTTCAAATTTTCAACTTTCATTATTTTTGCTATCTTATTATATCTGTGGACAAAAAAATGCGGACATACAAAACACATACACGCACACATCCATTTTTTCTGAGGTATGCCAAAATGTTCAGAAACCTCGGAAACATAAAGATAAGCAAAAATTTTCAATTTCGATTTTCGGCCCATTACTATAACTACCCTACGGTAAGTTAATAAATAGCTCCTTGCTAAAATATGCAATTTTGATTTTAGGAAGGATCCTGAACAGATTTTCTAAAGACATGGGAGCAGTTGATGAGTTATTGCCAAGGAATATGTTAGAAGCACTTCAGGTAATTAATATAATTAACTTATATAATTAAATAATTCATAGAATTAATTTAAATAAATATTTACAAAAGGTACATCCATAAAAATTAAACCACGAAGCTATTTGTTTTCTAGATCTTACTTCTGAATATTATACTGCAATTTATTACTAAATTTAGAATCTATGTTGCAAATTCTGTAGATTTTTTTAAATAGAAAGTTTAATATTACTTTTTTATGTTTATCTTTTCTCTGATAGATATTTCTGGTGACCATTGGTATTTTCGTAATGATCGGTTTGGTGAATCCATGGATCATGTTGTTAATTTTCCCAATTGGAGTAATGTTCTTCAGGTTGAGAACTTTGTATTTAAGAACCGCACAAAATATCAAAAGATTGGAAGGAATCAGTAAGTAGAAGTATAAAATACTCAAAATTGCTTCAATAAATACAAAAATACATAAAAATGATAGTAAATAGATTAAATTCTAAAAGTTTTTACAATATTGTATTCCTGTCCGTTTTGCAAATCAATATTGTATTATTATAAAAATACTCCTTGTGAAGTTGTCAGTGACTTTAGAAAATGATATAAGAAATTAGATATTTTGCAAGGAGTATAGAATTCTGTATAAATACATATATGCATTTAAATATAATTTTGCAAAAATGTGTCAAATTATTCCTTTTGCAAGTAATTTGTGGACTAATATCACGAAATGCTTGATTACATTATTACATACCATCAAGTATGTTTCGTGTCCAATGCCGATGTAAACCTTGATTTCCATTATTTATATGCAAAACAAGAAAATATAAAAATTTTATGATTTTTTGCATCTAATGCAGATTTTAATATTATTGTTTTATAATATTTTAGCTCGTAGTCCAGTATTTGGACACGTTGCTTCAACTTTTTCGGGGTTGCCCACAATAAGAGCAGCTAAAGCTCAAACTAGATTGATGCGCCAATTCGATCAACTTCAGGTAAGAATAAGTAATTTTTAATACATTATTTTAATAGAATAAATTATATATATATATATATATATATATACTTGTATAAAATATATACAATTATAATTGCTTTAGTGCTATTTATTATAGCGTGATTTAATTTTTTTGCTCTTTTGCTCCGTGCATATTGTATGACACTGATCAGTTTTGTAGATCTTATGGTCATCATGAATAAAAAATAATGATAAAAAAATATATATTGCATATATAAAATGCTATATACGTGTGTTTTATAGATAAATGTTATTAGAATAGAAGAATATTATTTTTATTTTAAATTATTTTCTTTTTCCTAGGATGGACACACTTCAGCCTGGTACCTGAGTATAGCAGCCACAAATGCCTTCGGCCTGTGGCTGGACGCAATTTGCGTCATATTTGTGGCCTGCGTCACATTTAGTTTTCTTATCTTGGAAAACGGTAAGTAAAATTGATATAAGTGATACTACAGAGAAATTACTGTTTTTACATAAGTAATAATAATTACACACCCACATCTCTTAACTTGATCGCGTTAGCTCCTGATAGACTCCCAAAAATCTGTTACAATTATTTTTTCAAAGCAAATTGCCGTTTGAAATATATTACGTAGGCAAACATAGCTCCAAATTACGCTTTTGATTTATTTATATTAAAACATTAGTTCAGGCCAATTACAAAATGACCGCCTATAGGCAAATCATGAAAACGGACTAAGTTAATTTGTGCAAACTTAGGCGTTTTTAGTAATATTTTCAATGATATTATATCGACAATAATATTTCTCCAATTCTATCTTAAGAAATAAAAATCTGCCCGAAACATTTCCATAACAGCGCACTTTTATTGTTTTTACAATCTTAAATTAGGTAAGCAGTAAGATGGAAATTTAAACTTATCCAATTGTAGACTTATTAAGTTAAAGATAATTAATTAAATATTTTATAGAAAAGACAGGTTTGTAATAATATTGAAAACCATATTGACTATTAAAATGTTGATTCAAGTTTGGTTTAAATTTGGATTTTTCTATATTCTTTTTTTTTGGAACTAAAATGGATATTCTTTTTATTTCAAGAACTTCCCAAACAGCCAGATATTGGTATATAAATATTTTATATAACAGTCAACGACCCAAAATTATAATTGATAAATATTCTATACAAGTAGTCGTTGAGTAAAACATTCCAAAAATTTGAATACGTGATTAGAAAACTAATAAAATTCTACCATATGTATCTGTGCATTGATGATTTTAGTACATAATTATAGAATTAATAGATTTATATATACTTATATGTGTACATAATATACATATATATATATATATATATATATATATATATATATATATATATATACATATATATATATATACATATATATATATACATATATATATATATATACTTATATATATATACATATATATATATATATACTTATATATATACATATATATACATATATATATATATATATATATACATATAATAATTTGCATAAAATTATAAAATAACTTATATTTTTTATTTATTTTGCAAGAGCTGAAGTTCATATGACAACGTTCTTGTAATAAATTTAAATTTATCCGTTAAAAATATAGTTTTAAATTAATTTTTTTTTTTTCTAAAATTATGTTTGAATTTCCATAATTTTTCAAAAGTTTAAAATAATCATCTATGTATATGTAAGTGAATAACTGAATAAAACTTGGTAAAATACACCATGGTCACATTGGTTGCGCTCAGTAAGGAGCAATATTCAACCATCGAAGTGTCGAGTCATATTAATTTTTTAAATAACATTTATATCAATATACTCATTTAATTTACATATGAATATGAAAAGAGTCATTTATCTTGTTTGTGAAGATTTTTGAAAATATGTATTGCAACATGCGTTCATACCTGATATACTTATCAGCTGGTTCAACTAGAAGGCTCGGACACGTTTTGTCATCCTGAAAAAGAATAATAATGTATAAGTAACTATATATTTCTAATACTGAAATAACGTATAATTGATAGCACTTCATTATTAAATTATATAAATAAAATTAAAACTGAACGACTAAAATTTAAAAGAAAAACTAAATCTACATCACATACATCAGATTACCAGAATTTTTGAAGTCGTTTGAATTTTTACCAAAATTATTGGAAGAAATTTTGAACTTTGCAAATAATATTTTCTATTAGATCTAATTTTCGGATGAGACTGTGGATCTACATTCCTACTCGATTAATACATGTTAATTAGGTGTAAGTGGCATGTTGCATTAGGATAATTTGCACAAATTTCAAGGCATGTGTAAATAATCGAATCAATCAATTAGAATACAATTTAGCATTTTTACAATTGTGGTAAAAAAGCTTTGGAATTTTGATACGTCTATTATAGCTATAGTTATAGTAATTATGGGTACTACTGCCTAGGGCAGGTCCAGTGATCTGAGTTAAACTGTAACTCGATTTAGAGAAAAAATAGTGTGAGACATTTCCCATAGCCATTTCATACCGGAGTACATGAAATGAGTTATTTTCAATTGGAAACATGTTTTTGATCTATATATTTTCAATTTTTAAACGGACCTTGCTACTGCACTATGCCAGGTTATGAAACATCCATCATTACTTAGCATAAATCACTGGAACTTTTTTTTATCTTTCTCAGAGAATACATTCAGTGGCAGTGTCGGTCTAGCAATTTCCCAAGCTTTGATTTTAACTGGAATGTTGCAATTCGGAGTTCGTCAAACTGCCGAAGTCGTCAATCAGATGACATGTGTGGAGAGAGTTATGGATTACACGAAACTAGAGCAAGAAGTCACTACAGGTTAGAGAAAAGTTAGACCAAAAATTTTGCACAAATATTGATAAAAGTTGAGGAATGACTCTGCCGTTTGTGGCGGATAACTGACGAATTTTCATTTTGGAAGTTGCCTTAGAAATGACTTCTAAATCTTTTTGCAACCATTTCTAAGAAAATGTTAAAGAAAGTTCAAATTTTGGCTCACATACACACAGACACAATTACCAATATTGGTATTTACGATATTTTTTTTTCATTTACAATATTTGTTACAACTGCTAAATAATTTAACATCTAGTAACAATAATGAACAATAGCATAAATTTATGTAAAAAAGAGTACAAAATAAAAGATAGTAAGGTATCTACCATATAAAACTAGTAAATCGGATTTTTTGGCAAAAACTAAAATTGACCAGTGTTGAGATCTTTAAATACTTAACATATTTTGCATCAAGATTTATTATTTTTTTAATTTCAGATAAGGAACCAGAAAAAGACTGGCCCAAGTATGGCAAATTAGAATTCAAAGACATATCTTTGAAATATGATCCATTAGGTTCGCCAGTTTTGAAGAAGCTCAATCTTACTATTGAACCAGGATGGAAGGTAAAATTATGTAACTCTAATAATATCATATATATATATATATATATATATATATATATATATATATATATAATTAGATTTTTTTATTCGACGTACAGGCATATCTTGGATATTGATTTTCAGCCAATCGTCAAAATAAAAGAAAACAAATAACTAAAAATATTTATTACGGATTGTGTGTCATAATTTAGCAAATTTTATTAATCAGTATCTAAAAGAATATTTACAGAAATTAAAAAAAAATTAATTTATATGTAAAATAATTAAAGAATAAAAGATATATATACCACACCAGGAAAATAACATTTTTTCTTTGATAATTAATAATAATAATACATAAGAAAACAAACCAAACATACAATACATAAAATAAATATAGAAAATAACATATTAAGTGAACATGTTTTGTTTTTAATTTTGAACTAAATTGTAATTTTCTGATTGCTAAATAAATCTATTACCAAAAAAAAATTTGAACTGAAATTTCGTGTAATAATGTAATGTAATAATAATGTAATTATCAAAAAAATAGTTTTTTCCTGGTGTGGTATGTATATATTTAATTCTTTAATTATTTCAAATATGAATTAATTTTTTTTAATATCTCTAAATATTTTTTTATATAGTGATTAACAAAATTTGCTGAATGATGGCACACAATCCGTGTTGAAACGTATATTATAAATAAATATTTTTATTAATTTGTTTTATTTTATTTCGACGATTGGCTGAAAATCAATATTCAATATATATATATATATATATATATATTGTGACGAGGGGGGTTGAAGCCCCCTTCTTGGGGTATGCAATGGCTGCCAAATATTATATTCTAGCCTTGCAACCGCATTACGAAGAGGTTACTTCAACACTCCAATCGCCTGCTAAAGTACCTGTAATTACCTGTGGGGGTTAGTAGCTACTATACGAATGAAACCAAGATTACTTTCATAACTAAATCTATTTAAATAATTAATAATACATTTCCGCATGTATTTGTGGAACATGACCGTACTTGCATACGGTCATGTTCCCTAACTAATACCACTTATTCGTATATCGTGGTATATGTGCTTATATGGATATATGAGGGGAGAATAGCTACAGCTTATAATTTACATTATCTGACCTTTAAGCTGGACCTGCCTTGTTGCACAACACACACACAACTAACACTAACGTATCCCAAGGCGTTCGCCTATGGGATACGTCTTCGTTGGCTCTAACTTCTTAATTGCCAGAATCTCCGGAGCGTCTCTCTGATGGACCCCAAGAACCAATAGATATTTAGGGGTAGTGGTAGGGGTGTACCCTGGGGTTGACGACCATCAGGCGACAATAATTATCAATACGACGATAATTATGATTATCGTCACAATATATATATTCTGTACAGGTGTATGATTTGGTACTTCTAAACGGTTATTCCAATTTTGATAATTCTTTTTAGAGATTGTCAAAGGAAATTTTTAAGATTTAATGAACGATAAAACTATAGCAACATTGTAGAAATAAATGGCAAAAATTACAAAAAACACTTATCATTGTTTGACATTGAGAACATTTAAACTGTCATCTGCTAGAAATGTCAATTCACTTGAAAATTGAATTTAGCTAAAATTATGAGCCTAGATAATATTAGAATATAATATACAATAAAAATAGCTACATTATTATTGCCAAAAAGCAGCTGATATGTGCCAGAAATTAAAATAATATAAGATACAGTCAATAGTAAATATTTGGCAGATGAAATTATATAATTCAGTTTAAGAAATAACGCAACAAGTCCAAAATTGCATGTACATTATTTTTTTAAACCTATGCATGTCGCATTTTGGTTTACTTTACTAATATATTTAGCAATGCAAAAAAATATTTTTACTTATCAAAAAAATGGTTTTCTAGAATTTTGTTTCGTCAAAAATTCATTTGTTTGGCATTGGATATGGAATATTTAGCTAGTTGATATTAGACTGCATATATGAACTAGATTTTACAAATTAATTCACCTAAGATTTGAACATAAACATTAATGTTTATTAAATTATTAGTAAGAAAAATGTACTTTAGAAATTATAATTGCCAAAAAGCAACTAATGCACGGTACGAGATTATGAAAACTATAGACTAAATTATTGAAGCATTTTTGTTGTGTGGTAAAATCAAGTGTTTTATCACAGAATCTATATTATTTTTTTCTGAATTTCTTACACTACTAATGCTAAGACCATAAATAAATCACAAAGGCAGGATATCAAATAGGATATTAAAAAATATAGGATAGTATATTAAAAAATTTGGAACTTTTGGAATTATAGACGTGGGTACAGGACAACGTCTGTCGGGTCATCTAGTACAAATCTTATTTTCATTTATCAATTCAATTTTTTAATCAATCTTTTATTCCTTTTCAGGTTGGCATAGTAGGTCGTACAGGTGCAGGTAAATCGTCAATAATCGCAGCCTTATTCAGATTAGCCTACAACGAAGGATCAGTTATCCTGGACGGTTTAGACACGAATGAAGTGTCCTTAAAATCTTTGAGATCTAGAATATCGATCATTCCACAAGATCCTGTATTATTCTGTGATACAATCCGATATAATTTGGATCCTTTTAATATCTACACGGACGAGCAGATTTGGAGATCATTGGAAGATGTAAGAAACTCAATTATCTCATATTTTAAGACAGATTTTTAATTTATTATAGTACAATATTACAAAAATGCTGCATTTTTCTCTTAATAGTTCTAAAACTGCACCAAATATATCAAAACTATGAACTTTTTTGTAATAAATGTATATTGGTTATTTCACAAACCTTTCCAATCGTATAATTAAGTACAAATTTTCAAGAGAAAATTCTTAGAAACATAATAAAATTCTCGATAGAATAAGAATAGGTTTTTTTCCAAAGACTTGTTTGATCAAAAATATCGTTGTTATACGAGTATAACTTTTTTTTTCAGGTGGAATTAAAAGAAAAGGTCCACGCCTTAGATCAGGCAGTTTCCGAATCAGGAGGAAATTTAAGTTCAGGGCAAAGACAACTGATTTGTCTTGCAAGGGCTATTTTAAGGAATAATCAAGTTTTAGTTTTAGATGAAGCCACAGCTAATGTAGATACAAAGTAAGTATATTAGTAAATTAACATTATTTTTTAAAAATATGAAAGTATAAATTTGGGATAATCAATGCTGGTTTATGCTATGTACTTTTACTATTACTTTTCTTCTGAAATTTTATTTTGAACTTCAAAATTTTTAAACATTTAATGTTCCGTCCCATACAAAAATTATATTTAACACTTGTCGATCTAGTATTTAGTTTTCAAGAGAAAAATGTTTTCTACTAGTTAATAGTTTTTAATAAAAAGGTAGTCAAAAATAAAACTAGGGGTGTATGGCTTCGTGCCTTAAGGCAATTTTTTTTGTAATAGATTTATTTAACAATCACAAAATTACAATTTTTCTATAAGCTAAACTGCGAACTATGTGAGTGTTAAAATAAGATAGGATCCACTGATCTATCTTGCATTATGTTACTTAAGGCAAATTGCTGGAACTTCCCGTACAGTAAGGAAATGTTCGAGTAATATTAAATGTTTTCAAATAAATTATCATATAATTAAAATTAAAATCTGAATTATTTTCGATATACAAAAAAAACTGGAAAAAAATTGAGACAATTTTTTTTCCAAAAGCAATTATTTTGTCAAAACAAGCAGAAAGTTTTTTGATTCATTCAAATCAGATGCTTAGTTCTCTCAAAAACTGCCGTTTTTTGCACATTTAGCTCGATATCTCCAAAACGGCTCGACGTGCCTTTACCAAAAACTAAAGACAAACTTCTCCCAATCATCACAAATTGAACGTTTTTCACATCATTCAAATCGGATGCTCCGTTCTCGCAAAAACTCGATTTCTATTTTCTGCACTCTTTGCTCCGTATCTCCGTAACGGCTGGACCTGCCTTTGCCTAAAACTAATCAGCACATCTCCCTATCAATAGAAATCGAATGTTTTTTGAACCATTGAAATCGGTTGATCCTTGCGCCCGAAAATGTGGACGAAAAATTGTATCCATACACACATGCACACACATCTTTCGTAAGGTATGCCAAAATGTTCAGAAACCTCTGAAACGTAAAGATATGCAAAAAAGAATATTTTCGATTTTCGGCCCATTACTATAACTACCCTACGGGAAATTAATAAAATATTAAATATTAACCTAGTATAATTTTCGAGAGGGCAACCCAATGGTCAACCACTCTTTTTACGAGTAGCAATATGTATTAAATATGAATTGATATTAGATATGAATTTATTTATTTATTTTTGACCAGAATTTAAAAAAATCTGAACATTTTTCTAGAAAATTGGATGTATGTGTGCGTGTACGTGTATGTATTTGTGTGTGTGCGGATACAAATTTTCGACGGCGATTTCGGGAACACGGATTAACCGATTTGAATAATTCGAAAAACATTCGATTCGTATTGATAAGGAGACGGGCTGATAAGTTTTTGGCGAAGGCAGGTCAAGCAGTTCCGAAGATACGGGGCAAAAAGTGCCAAAAATGACAGGTTCTGAGAGAACAAATCGGCTGATTTAAATAATTCAAAAAACGATTTACTTGTATTAACAAGATAAAGAACTGATCAAATTTTCATGAAGGCAGGTCTAGCAGTTTCGGAGATCTAATAAAAAAAGTAAAAAAAAAAATGTCATTCGGCGGTTAAAAATGATCATTGGACATATGCACATCAAATTATAAGATATTTTATAGAGATTTTAACAATAAGTAAAAATTTTATTTACATTCCTATGGGTTCCGTACCAATGCTTATCCTTTAGACGACGACGCAGCGCTTAAGCGCTTCAATATTTCGTGTCTATGTAGTTAAAGCAGTACGATTGCTTTGAAAAAAAGTTCAGAATTCCCAAAATATTTCAAAATAAAAATTTATAGTTTCTCAAAAATCTAATTTTTTCAAAGTAAATTTTTTTCAAGAATGGTAATCTTAAAAAAACGTACGGGAAGTTCCAGGAATTTGCCTTGTATAAAATTGATTGGGAGATTGTATAAAATTATAACCCTTTATTCTTGTATTGTCAATAATGTTACAAAATTGGTTGGGATGAAGATTTTTTGCCTTACTATTTTTCCATCATTTGGTGACCATTAAAATTGGTGTCCAAGATTTTACCTTTACCACTGTTGGTTGTATTCGTATGAATTTCGAAAGATGTAGTTATTGTTGCGTGAATCGTGAAAGGAAATTGAATAATAATAAAAATTAACATCGTTAATTTTATTTTCCGCAGGACTGATTCTCTGATACAGAGCACGATCAGAAGAAAGTTCGCCCACTGCACGGTCATCACCATCGCCCATCGTCTGAATACGGTCATGGATTCGGGTGAGGATTAAAAAATATTGTTATAGTTAATTATTTTAGTGTTTTATTAGTCATCAATAAAAACATAATTAAGCAATTCTTTATTAGAACCTTTACCAGAAAAATCAATCACTGGAATAAGTTAATAACTACAAAGTGTCTACTAGTCTATGCACAAATTAGGACAATTTTTGACCAATGTTATGGCAAGGCCATGTTACGCTTCAACTCCGATACATTACGCTACTGAATCATACTGAATACTGTCAAAATGTCATGTATTTGCTGTGCATTCAGGCGTTTTACACATAAACTGCAACGTCACTCGTATGTTATGAAGCTGGGTCAGAAACACCCTGTTATCTAACATCGTTTTGTTGACATTTGTGCGGTTTCTAGGAAAGGTTTTGTATCTGACAATAGCCTGACTGCGCAGCAACCACATGGCTTTTGTCAATATTTAGTATGGAAAGTTCTTTGTAACATGGCCTTGCCATAACATTTGTCAGTTATGCGACAAAATCGGTTCATAAATTGTTCAGCAATTAGAAACTGTTATATGCATGTATAATGTTATTTTTAAAATATATTAGAATATTATTAAAAACTCCAAATTCAAAATTCCAATACCAAGAACAAGCATAAACGAGCGTTGGCATGACAACGCTATTTTATGAGCTCTGTTACGGTAGAATTGACCCCTAATTTTAAATTAAGGAATGTTATATGTATATAGCATATATTATTAAACTTTATAATAAAATATTATTTTATTAGAAGAATAAAAGTGGATTTAAACAAAAAATTCTATAAAATATACGTGGTTGTAAAATTTAAGCTTGAAACAATTTTTAACTTTCCGATGACTTTATATTTTGATTAACAAATCCGATTTGCTAATTTTATGTTTTCTCGACATTTCAAGTCATACTGAATCGAATGAGACCACAATGAGATATTATTTATATTATAAAAATAAAAGTTTAATTAAAAAAAATGTGTAATTGAAATTTAGGCTTGAAACAATTTGTAACCTCCCAAATAATAAACTTGTTTTCATAAAAAAATCCAATTTGCTAATTTTATGTTTTTTAGACGTTTCAAGCCATTCTGAATCGAATGTGACTAAATTTGTAAAATAATATGTGTATGTGTATGTGTGTTTGTGTGTGTGAAAGCCGATTTTTGCACATTTAAGCACTCGTGTTGGTTACTTCTTTAATACGATCGGCTTAGCCATTTCTTTAGAATTGGTAGAAAAGTGTAAAATGACTACCACGTTTAGCCAAAAATGTGAACAATTCGAAGGTTATCTTTAGGAAATCGTGCTTATTATTTTTCGACAGAGATCGGACAAGCCATTTCTTTATAAGAGGATGTTTGCTTTTGGAAATCGTGCTAATTATTTTTTACCAGAATTAATAAGTATGCTATACTTCCTTACTGATATCTTTCGAACAATTTTTGAAGTAATAAAGAAACAAAATTTTGCCTTAAAAGAAGATTTACCTCCACTTAAATACAAAAACTAATTCGTTTTGATAAAGCTAAATTGTTTGAATTATATTAATGTAGGTATAAAAAACCGGCATTTATTTATTCACAAAACAATTGAATTAATTTGGATTATACTTATTAAACATATTATTCTAACAAATTAAAGATTTTAATTTTCAAATACTGTCGGACGCATCCAAGTAAATGATTTCTATATTTTTGATAAAGTTGCAGTCGTTTTACCAAAAGTCAACTTTTGGCTGTCATATTTATAATTTTCTACAACTTTAGTTTCTAGAATGACTTGAAATTTGAAATTAGTATGAAATTAAAAAAATCGGATTTTCTAGCCAAAACAGCAGACCTCACATTCGAGAAGTTTGTGTAAATAATAGTCCAGTCATTATAGTAAGTTCACCTCGGAATTCGAGATACCCAGCTATAAGTCTGTAAATACTTGTATTTTGCACCCTAAAAGTTGTCTCAAAACCTACATATGTTTGTGTACACCTTTTAGACAACTTTTAGGTGACAATATACAAGTATTTACAGACTTACAGCTGGGTATATCGAATTCCGAGATTCTTACCTTTAAGCTTAAATGACTGGTCTAAAAAATAAAATATAAATTTATTTTAGTTAACATAATTTAGGCGAGAATTTTTCTTTTGTGTAAAAATCAACATATAGTATTAAATAACTAAATAATTTAACTCTTTTTTTATTCCAGATCGTATTTTAGTTTTGGACGCAGGCAAATTGATGGAATGGGGATCTCCTAAAGATCTTGCCAACCAAGAAGGAAGTATCTTCAAGCAAATGTTACAGAGTAAAGTGGAACCATCACATTAACATTTGCCAAAAAAATTAAGTGACACCTACATTTAGTGGTCAAAAGACCACTTTAGGTAATACGCAAATTTTTGGAAAAAAATCATTCAACCAAAATATTTTGGACTCATAACATTGTCACAAGAAACAAAATTTAGTTTGTTAGTTTCGATATTTTAAGTTTAAATTCTGTTAGTAGGTATTTTATTTATATGATATTAGTTAGTTTAATTTTATAAAAAAAGACGTAAACCAAATTGTTTTTTCCAAAAATAGGTTTGATGTAATCTAAATATTTATATTTAAAAATTATTCATATTTTATTCATATTATTTTCGACATATTTAAATTTTATTCTTAATTCTAGATTTTTCGTGTAAATACTAATTTCTAATATTAGTACTTACATATTTTTTTTTTAAATTCATACATATCATAACTTATATTTTATTGGTGATTATCTTAAATATTTAATTGTTCTTATTACAAGTACATTTGTAATTTTGAACTTTTTACAAGTAAATTTTTATGTACTTATATCAAGATTCGCATCTTAAATACTTATTTATCTGTACTTTTTAGGTTTATAGTATAACTTAAAAAAAATATTTTTAAAATCATTTCTTCACTCTAAAAATCATCTAATTCATTGTAAATGCAAAACTGCTATATAAATAAATAATTTCGGACACCATTTGGAAATAAATAATTTTGGACACTATTAACAAAATATATAATAAGTTTTGGGATAATAAGTTTTTACTTTCATATAATAATCATAATTTAATTTTGGTACATTTTTATTTCTTATTTTTTAAAAGAAATTTCTTTCGAAACAAAATTTTAGAATACTGATAATTTGTGCTTTAACTCGTTTATTACAAATCGTAGATTAAATTGTATTTATTTTATAACATACAAAAAATCTAAACTAATTTTTGTTGCAAAAAATTAACTGCATATATAGATTTGCATAGAAATTAAATCTTTCAATTATATATATTTTAAATATATTGAAAATATTGTATTAATGTTAATTTGTAAATATTTAAATTTGGTATTTGTTTTATACTATACTTTTAATACTCGTCGCTTTATATACTTTAAGATCAACAGAAAAATTCGATTAAACTTCCATACGTTTCGAATCTTAATTTGACTCTTCTTCAGAGGTTAAAAATAAATTCTTCTGGAAAAACTCAAAAACCAAATACTTTAAAAAGAATACTTTAAAATAAATCTTGATAGTAAAAAACAACTGAAAGCATCTAATTTGAGAAGAAAAAATTGAAATTAATTTATAAAGAAAAAACATTATAATATATAAATAACGTCAATTCGATTCGACGTATTTGTTTTTTCATTATGTATTAAATTTAAATTAATTTTATCAAATTAAATATGTTTTTATTCAAGTTCATTAATACGATTTCTTTCAAACTATTTCATTAATTAAATGTGTAAATTTTATGCACTTGAGAAGGGTCAAATTGGCACCCGAAACGTGTGGAAGTCTATTAAAATTATTTTTGTAAAAAAAAAATCATTTTCTTTCTTTTATCTTGGATGGATTTCTGTTTAAAAATCCATTTTTGTTCCTGGTAGTATAAATGTTTTTTATATCTAATAACATTTTAAGTGTCCAAAATGGTGATTTTATATAGCAGTATATCATACACATATTTTAAAAATATTAAAAGTAAATGTTATTTTCACAAGAACACTCTCGCACAATTTTTCATTAAAAATTGCAAGTTAGGGTCAAAATTTATGAAATTCTTATGAAAAAGATCAGACTGAGACGAATAATATATTGGCTAGAACATTTTATTGCAAATTTCAAATGTATATATATATATATTAATATATATATATATATATATATTATATATATTGTTTGATGTAATACGAGTACTTACACCGATTTTGTAATATTTAACTTGAAAATTATCTCGAAATAAATTTCTTATATAAATTAAATAATGAAGCTCGAATGAGGACTTAAAATTCGTTTATAATTTTTATATTATTTTACCAAATTTTAAATATCAAGAATAATATATTCTTTTACAATTAGTTTAGTTTTATAACGATATTATAATGATAAAAATTAAACAAAAAACACCGATTAAATTTAGGTATATTTTTACTTAATACTTAGTATAAAAATTATTAAATTTTGTGTAAAGTAGTAGAAAGAAAAGCTTTTGCTGATAAGAAGATTTTACTACTTTCGAATCAATTTTTAAATTGAAAGTTTGGTTTAATTTTTAATTTATTTTAATATATCTTTAGAAAATTTTGAAGGATTTTTTCATATTTTTTGGCTTTTAAATTATCTCAATTTGAAAGATAATAATTTATTTATACACTTCTTTAGATTTTACGGGATACCTGGATAGACATTCATTATAATCAAATAAAGTGTTAAATGCTTGGTTATTGTGGTTAATTTTGAGGACTTAAATTTTTGATCAGTGACCTTAAATAACATTTCTAAGACCACAGTCAAAAATAGTCAAAAATAATATCACAATTGCCCCAAGTTTTCTAGATTTGATTAAATTTGTTAAACTATGAATTTAAAATTTTCAAAATTGGTATATAGAATAATAGTGAAAAATTAAAATACATACAGGTATCCTTATACTAAAATTAATGAACTTTTTTTTACAGTAAGTCAAAATATTTTGGTACACTTACATTTTAATATTTTTTTCTGAATTTTTCCTTTAAATTTTTTTTCTGTTTTTATATTTTATTTTGTTTTATTTAAAGAGATTTAGTTTTTTAAGTGAGTTGGTTTTGTTATTCTGCATTCCTGTACTTTAAAATAAAATTGTGATGTATATAAAAATAAAACTCGTAGCTTCCTCGTGTATCTACATTGTAATAATATAAATAATAATAATTCATATTACTAATATTTTAATATTTAGGAATATTGAAACATAAATAAAAATCACTTAATTTTTATACTTCAGACTGTGTACTGTAGCTTAATAGTGAGTAGATTATATTACATATTGTAATTATTACAATCTAAGGTCAATATAAATGCAATTTTAATTGTATAAAATTTTTGAATATTTACCATAGTGGCTACAAATGTGATTTGTATGTATAATTAATTATAACATATGTGTTCACGCTAATTTAACAACAAAAATCACTAACTATGTTTAATTATAAATTATTGAAATTGTAAAATAAAAATTCTGATAAAGACTAATTTTTGGTATTTTTTAACTTCCCGTAAGATAAGTTATGCCCACAAAAATCGAAAATTTTTTTGCATATCTTCACGTTTCAGAGGTTTCTGAACATTTTGGCATACCTTAGAAAAAATGGTGTATGTGTGCGCGGATACAAATTTTTGTCGGAGATTTCAAGAACACGGATCAACCGATTTGAATAATTCAAAAAGCATTCGAATGGTATTGACGGAGAAACGTGTTGATTAGTTTTTGGCAAAGGCAGGTCCAACCGTTTTAAAGATACAGGAAAAAAGTGATAGAAATAATAATTCAGTGTTTGAGTGAACGGAGCGTCCGATTTTAATGAGTCAAAAAACATTTTATTTGTATTCACGAGATGAAGTTGTGATTAAATTTTAAGGAGGCAGGTCCAACGGTTTCGGAGATACAGAGAAAAATGTAAAAAAAATGATATTTGGCGATCTAAAATGATCATTAGACATATGCACATCAAATTATGAGATATTTTATAGAGATTCTAAACATGAATACTAAAATTGTTATAATTTTTTTGGGTTCCGTACCAAATTTTTAAATTTTTAAAGTTCACTTATACGGTTCAAATAAATTTAAAAATTTTCCTGAAAATAAAAAAGAATCCTGAAAATAATCATAATATAAAGTGGCAAATTAGAAAACAAATTTAACTAATAAACTTTATTTGAAAAGATGCAGGATATAAAAAAACACAATTCATAGTAATAGTATTAATTACAGCATATATAAAAGTAAATGTATTAAAATATAGAATGTATAGTACTTCATATTATAATAGATTTCATTACTTCATTTGCAATCAGGTTCGTTAAGTTTAATATTATCCAGGATAGTTTTTTCAACAAATCCATGAAACTGATTCCAAAGTTTCGCAGTTGTCTCCTGAGACCACTTTTCGAAATAATCTGGAGCATATGGAACTTCAGCAATATCTTTTTCTTCATCACTCAAGATTGCATTTTCATCGAAAAACACCACAAGAGCAAACATGGTTCCAGTGCAAACGCCATCCAATTTTTCTCGTTTAATTGTTAGCACCAAACCAAATTTCTCCAAACGTTTTCTCACATTTTTCAAATCGAAAAATTCCGACTCACCAAACGGAGATACTTTTATCACTCTCAGCTTTTTTTCACTTTTGCTCAATTCGAGACATTTTACAACATATGTAAGGGGCATCACTTGTTGTTGTGTATTGGTACCAGTTCCAATTCCTTTCCAAATCAAATTTTGTATAACATCAAAACAATTAGTTTCGGAGTCAAATATAATTGATAACCGATTGCCGGTCATTTTAAATGATAAAATTTTGTCCACAAAATTGATGTCATCTTTAGCAACCTTGAAATCTGAGTATTGAGTGATCCACTTGCTCGGTGTTACTGCAGATTGTTTGACACCATCATCAAAAACAATATTCATTGTAAATCCTGCCTTTCTATTATCTTCCATACTAATTAATATTTTTATTTAATAAGATCACTAAACTATTACAACGATTTCGAGATGTGTTCCTCACGAGGTCAAGAACGAAAATAAATAATAAAAGCTCTTCTTACGAGGAACTTATCGCATATAAGGATTAAGGTATACATAACACGTAATATATACGATGCGATATGAAACTTGTGTCTAGAATTTTCTACACAAAAATTGTTTTCAAATTTATATAATTTAACTAGTGGTGCATGGCATCGTGCCTTAAGGCAAATTGCTGGAACTTCCCGTACCAGAATTATATATTCGAGGAAAAAAAAACAGTAATCA